ACTGGACCTAGCACCCGTTGGAATGCACGTGTGTCCTTTGTTTCTCGAATTCTTGAGCTCCAAGAAACTCGATTTCGATTTGTACAGGCAACGACGGTGAAATCCGCCATACCATACAAATCTGCCGCGAACTCTTACAACATGCAAGACAATAGTCGATAAATACAAGCTTGAAGTTCAAAATAAAAGATTTGAAAAAGTTTTTATTTTAAGATTAATTTGAATTGACTGGTTCCTACGGGCAGCATTACATGACAGCTAAAACAATATCACTCTGGAAATGGCTCCTCATCGCTCCTATACAATTCTAACCAAGCGCGAAGCAATCGCGGCTGCTGAGGCGTTAAGAAGCTGCCAAGCCGCATCAAAGAAACTAAATATCCCTCGCAAGACCCTTCGCGACTGACTAGACGATAAAGAGAACATCCAAGACTTTGCAGGTGCCCAAACCAGCTAAACCTTGAAGGTCCAGGGCGCAGCGCCGTTGATACCCTTCTCACACGATTTGGTAATCTTTATGAAGGATGTGCGGCGAGAAGAAGGGGTAAACCGTCTTGTCATTAGTTTATTTTTACATTGTGACCTAAAACCGCTTGTTTCTTAGTATTTATGTACAGGTTTAATGATTCAATATTTCAAAGAGCAGCAACCGCGATGGCTTCAAACGTATCTTGCTGGTAAGGAAAGCGATGAGAAGGGGCTAAGTGCGTTAATGAGACTATGTCAGCGGTTTGCAGCACGGTAATATCTGATTTTGTTGATTTTATATAGTTGATTTCCTAAATAGTGTGATAGTCATGGATTCACAGAGCAAAAGCCACAGTTCGCTAAAAAGAATCAAGCCGAAATGATCGAAACGCATTGGCCGCTTGCCGTGAAGTTTTGGGATGAATATGGGTCATTTCCGCTAGGTACTAAATATAATAAATGTGTATAGGAAAGAAACTTCCAATTCTATTTATTTTACGTGCGAAGCCAGGTAGATCTATCGAAAAGAATGAGCTACCAACATATCCGGTTGGGCATGTATACTAAGTGCAGGAGAGCGGTTGGTTGGATACCAAAGTGGGGGCAATATATGTACGAGAGCTACTCAAGTTCGAGATCGAGGCACCATCAGTGCTTATACTCGATACCTTCGACGCACATGTTTCAAAAGAAGGGCTTGATGTTGTTGCCGAGACAACGTCGGCCCTGGATTGCCACCTACCGCCCAGCAGAACAGCGGCCAGCCAGCCACTAGACGTTGGCGCTTTCTACTTTGCTTTTTGCTAATTAATTTGTTTTATCTACCAAAAAAAATTGTGCGACGGGTTTTCCTGTCGCGAAAACAAAAAAAAGAACTACTGTGGAGGATTGCGTTTAGAGGGTGGCGGATTTCACCGCCGTTGTCTGTAACAATATACGGCAAGGATTTTTGCTTTGATCTACAAATGCGGCAGGACTCTGGGATCCAGTACTTTTCTTATGGATCATGGTGCAGTAATAATAATCGCACTGAACCGGTACTCCCAGTACAATATATGTAGGGATTGTCTGTACTTACACGCGGTAGTAAGGATTGCACCATTTCTGCTGAATTTCGGCATAGTGCGAGTTTAACAAATTGTAGCTACGTCGGTGCCGGGCAAGATGCGGGGATACCTTGGCAGCCATTTATCACCTGACGCCATTAGTTCGTTCTCTGACAAAGCAGTAAGAAATAAACTTGAAGTGCCAAGGCTGTGTATTACAGCTACCTGCCTACTAGAACGTTCTGGCTGAATACCGCCCATTAGATGGAGTTATATGGAATATTGAAATGGAGCTAAATGAAATATTGAAAGTATTACGTATCGGTAGTGCTTTTCATATGAAATCTTGCTCAGAGCAAGCAGGGTCGGCGCATAAAACCAGGCGTAAAACTGAGATGGAAAAAGGAGCCCTAGAATTATAAAACAAAAGAGGTCGTTATAAATGACTCGATGTCGATGCGCTTCGATTAATTAACAACTCTAAAACATCGATCTATCCCTTTTATGTCCTCGATATATAAACAACCTCGATTTATAATAAATTGATCTTCCATTCTAGTGATAACGGCAAAAGCCTAGCAAAGCACAGTATGTGTTTATCTCAGCGAGAGGGAGGAAGAGAGGGTACCGGTACGCGATAAGAATGCTCCATTTAGTGCTCGCGAAAAGATTGTACCTAAGTTCAGCAACATCATTGGTAGTCCATAGTAACTAGAATGCAAGTAGCATAAGGCGACAGGTCGCCAACGGTAGATGAGAGGATAGTGATAAAAAATGTATTTCCAAAACATTTTCGCAGCACCTCCTTCCTTATTATCTTACGTCGGTTGAATTATATATGTGTCACCGGTTTTTAAGACAGTCAATAAAGAGAACTGTCATCGACTCCTTCTACACAGGTAAGCACACTCAACGGATACGCTGTGACCTATCTGCTAACCCTATGCTGTCCGACATGTTACTGTAATTCGCAATTAATGCCGAAAGAGAGCGCCCAGCTCGCGAAATGTAGTGCAATTGTTTCCACGACATTGCTGCTCTCCGGAACCAAATTCCGCACTGATTTCGACCCAAAAGCAATTATTCCACCGACCACCCCAGCTGCCACTTGTGCATCATTTGAAGGCCACGTCGAGACGGAAGCAGCTGCCTCTTGATTAAACAGCACCACTGGAATAACAGTGTACAGTAGTTGGGAAACTAGAATAATGATCCGCTGGATATATCGACATCCCGCTTGTTCTTGAACGCATGAGCATGCTCACGCGTAACGTTTTCGAGAGCCTGCACTGAAAATTGTCTGCCCAAAGTTAAAGTGCTTTGGATGAACGTATATTCCTGATATTTCTGTGGGTGGAAGGGGTCTCGTTAATCCATCATGTGGAGCTATTATTCAACAGCGCACACGGATGATATCGAAGCATGTTGGTTTGGAGACGTTCCATCATTGACGCGAAGAGACGGATCTTATTACATTGCTGCTGCTCAAGCAATTCTTACAGGTAGAGCTATTTGTAGGATTCCGGACCTGTCTTCTTTCTGCAGTGGAACCGGCGTGCTGGAATTACCTACACGATCGTCTTTCAGTGTCATCAGTCTTACACTTTTCTGGTATGTCCGACTTGACTTTCTCTGCTTCTTCTTGGCCGGCGTAGACGTGCGCGGTTTCGTCTTATGCCTGGGATTGCGCAGGTACTATGCTACCCGATCTTGTGTAGGTTGGATACAACCAGGAAGCTCGTTCAGGTGTGTTCGCGCAGTCGCTTGCCTTCTTCTTCTACACATTATTTTGATAGCGCTATATCGGCGTGTGATTCTGCTTGTGCAACCAATGGAGCTCGCCGTTCGGCGTGACAGCTCGTATCTCAGGCAATCACTTGGATACTGGCACTGCAGCAGCTGTGAAATTGTTAGCAAAAGTAATTATGACATTCCTGGCAGGCAAATTCAGCGACAGGAAAGGAGGGCTAAATGTAAAGGTTTTGTTTAGTTATAACCGAATTCACTGCTATTCCAGAAGATCACACTTCTTCCGCGACGCCTAGCCATGAATCCAAATAGTGGCGAATGCAAAGGCGTTCATCTCGGCAGAGACAGATTAGCTGACAAAACAGCTCAAGAGGCCCCAGAAGATGACGAAGATGCTTCGAATGATGCAAGGATGGGATTTCTCCAGTTTGGGGTGTTTTGCATCTTCATGGGCTCCAAAGGGGTAATAATGATGATAGTGTCGTAGCTGGAGGCAGGGGATCATATGTCGAGCGCTCGGAGGTCGACAGAAAGCTACACTTGCTCAAGAACCAATACTCTACAAGGATTACAGCTATATTGTACTTTTGTATTGTTCTCACTCTTATTTGTTTTCTTCAGAACGTACCAATGATCGATGATTTACTGGACGCACTTTTACATGGCCATGCAAATTTAAGCCGAGGGATTTTGACGCATATCTGGTACTGGAACTCGCTATGGGTATCACGCAGAGGGAGATTTGTTAAGTAAACACATTCTTTCGGTCAGCGCGTGTTCCCTGAAGCCATGGCACAAAATCTATTTCAAGCAATTTGAAGCCACTGGCGTATTTCAGCACCCTTGGAATCCAATACTAAAATCCAACGACACACTCTGATACAGCGGATATCATTCTAAGCACTTGCAAAAAAGCCCTAAGAGGTAGCCGCTCCAAATGACATTTCTCGATGGACGAGAGCTCCGTTAGAACGCAAGCGCGAACGAAGGTAAAGTCATACATGACATTAACCCCAGACCAGTACGCCATATGTAAGGATCTGCTCAAGAACATCAAGTGATTAGTCCAGCCACACATCAAGACGATACAACCAGCTTCATATCCAAGGCTTTGCGCAGCGGAGCCGACAGTGCTCCACAGCCAACCGTTCACTGCATGTCGAGGTAGCTAGCAAACACAGAGAACATAACGATCAATGTCAGTTTCCGATTTACCTCCAAGTCCGTAAGCAGCCCTTACACTTGGTAGCACTTGCGATACAACGCTTCGCTTCTCCGCCCTCTTCCGTCCGTCCGAGGCTCCCGTCCGCCTCCAGCTTTTATTTCAGGGGGAGGGGTGTCGTGGTGCATTGTCCCACAACCCTTCCAAGAGTGCCACCCGATTGGTTGGCAGCGCCGTAGCGTATATTCCGTGCGCACGCAGCAAACAGTCAGTGATTTGCTGTGTGCCCCGTGAGTGTAACCTCTGCGCGGTTGCCGCTTGCGTGCAAGTAGTAGTAGTCTCCGTGCTACGAGGCCGTCGTAAGCTAGCGCCGACTGAGCTGCACCCGGTTAGTACCTGCAAGTCGTTGGCTCCTGGAATTGACGGAAGCGGCTCTCCGGGGAGTAGCTGCGACTTCAGTGATTGATTTGGCCTAGGAGCTTGCGCGCCCAGATCATCTAGTGACGACGTTGGACACCAGCGTAGGCGCAATGGATACCGAAAGTGTCCAGCAGATGTTTGCTTCGCTTGCAGCTATGATGCGCGAGCAGCAACAGTTCTTAGCACAAACTGCAGAGCTACAACAACAAATGGCAGCGACGCTTCAGCAGCAGCAGCAACAAGTGCCAGCCCCACAACAGCAGCCTGTGGATGCGGCGCCGGCTCCTGATACAAGGGAGTATCGTGCAGAGGGCATCACAATGCCCACGTTTTACGGCACGAAGGACGCCGACGTAGCGGACTACATGTTCAGCGCGCGGCTGTACTTTGAGTCGAAGAATATCCAGTACGGTGACGAAGCTCCACAGCAACGGCCTTTGTCATTGCTGGTGGCCAATCTCAAAGTCCCCGCTGCTGCGTGGTACCGCGAGTTCGTCTCTCACGAAGGCAACTTCCTGCAGTCGGTGGCTCAGTTTGAAGAGTAGCTGACGAGCGAGTTCACGGCGCCAGACAAGCAAGAGCACCTCCGGGATAAGCTGTTAAGTTTGCTACAGAAAAACTTGGCCTGCCTTGAAGACTACGTTTCCAGCTTTCGCAACATTATCTGCAAAGTGGAGGACATGTCAGACATCGACAAGGTCATGCACTTCCAGAAGGGGCTCTCGGTAGAGATCCGTCAAGAAGTCAAGCTGCGCCAATTTCGCAACACGACCGATGCCATCTCGTTTGCGCTGATGTACGACCGCACCCACTCCGTCGGTGCTCGGAGGCACGGAAAGGATTCAACTCACGTGCCTGCACGTCAACCGCCCCGAGCATCCGTCGAAGAACCGACGCCGATGGAGATTGGCAGTTCACGGTTTGTGTCACGTGATGAGTGCATGCGAAACAACTTGTGTTTCTATTGCAAGGAACCAGGTCATCGTTTATCCAGTTGCCGCAAGAGTCAAGGTCGCAATGTCTCGCGTGGCCCCTCCACTCGAACTCGTGGGCAGCCATCCTTTAGCGCCCATCAGAGCACCTTCCGTCGTGTCGTGGAAGACGAGGGCGACGACGACAGCAGTGACGAGGTGGAAGTAATGCAGAGCATGCAGCTGAACATGGTGGCTGCGCGGCTGAATGATTCGGTCTCATCGTCCCAAGGACTGTTGCGGCTGGATGGAGTGATGAACGAACAGCCTGTACGGATCCTTATCGACAGCGGCGCCGAGCAGAACATCGTGCGTCCCGGTCTTGCTCGACATGTCGTCGATGCCGCCAAGGTCACAGCGGAGCGCTTTGACGGCTCTACCACACCGACTCGTGTGGCGCAACGTTGTTTGGAGTCGCTGACCTTTGCGGGTCGTGCCTTCAGTGATGTCCCTCTCATTAAGTGGGAAGTGTCGAACAATCAAGACGTGATTCTTGGTCATCCATGGCTCGCCCAGTTCAACCCAGATATTGATTGGAAGACCGGTGAAATGCACTTCAGAAAGCAGAGAATAGCGTGCGACTACCGCTCGCTACACGTTGGTGACCCGACGCCTGAGCCTGCAACTGGTGCCGTGAAAGTGAAGCCCGAATTCCGTCAGCACCCGCTCCCCGTCAACTTGCGACAGCAGCTGGATGCTTACACCAAGGCCGGGTATTTTCATTTGCCGTTAGGTCCAAGTGGGCTGTCAATGGTCGACCACGCTTTAGCGAGACCTCATAAGGAAGACACAGCAGCAGGCTCTGCAGATACGGCCGTTTTGTCTGTCTCGGCTGCTCACTTCGTGAAGAAAGTGCAAGCCCATGAGTACGCTGAACTATATCATGTGACGGTGAAGACATCACCGAAGGTGAGGGAAGTGCCATCACCGCTGCAAGTGGTGCTCGACGAATATGCCGACGTCTTTCCAAGTGAGCTTCCACCTGAACTCCCTCCACATCGATCGATCGAGCACGAGGTAGTGCTCAAACCAGGAGCGAAACCTAGTAACCGCGCTCCGTTTCGGCTGTCAAAGGTGGAACAAGCCGCATTGGAGCTCTTTGTGGCTGATCTGCTGAAGAAGAACTGGATTCAAGTATCAGACTCGCCATGGGTCAGCAACATCTTTGGGGTTCCAAAAAAGGATCCAACTACTGGCAAGTTTCCGTCACGGTTGGAGTGGTTGCGCTCTGCAGATCCCCACATGCCAATTCGCTGGGTTATTGACTATCGGCTCGTCAACGCTGCTTCTGACGTGGCGAAGATCCCGCTACCCCACATTGAGGAGCTATTCGATCAGATGGAAGGTGCGACGGTGTTCTCCATCCTCGATCTGGCTAGTGGGTACCACCAGATGCGTATGTCGCCTACGTCCAAGCAGTTCACAGCCTTTCGTACCAATCACGGGATTTACGAGTGGAATGTTGCCCCCATGGGCCTTGCTGGCATGCCGGGCACTTGGACCCGTCTGATGCGAAAACTCTTGCATTCTTTTCGCTTTGTGGTGGTTTACTTGGATGACATTTGTATCTTCTCGCGCTCCATGGAGGAGCACGTGGAGCATTTACGTCAAGTTTGTGCGGTGCTTCGTACCAACAAACTTTACGCTCGGCCCGACAAATGTGACTTCGGCCAAAGCTCTGTAGACTTCTTGGGCCACACAATTTCTAGTAAGATGCGCTTTACAGCAGCCCAGTGCTCGACTTGTGGGTTCTCCATGAAGCGAGAAACGTGAGAGCACATCGTTGCACTTCAGTCCGACCTTCTGTGTGAAGAAAGCCACGGGTGGGTGGCGCATCGTTCATGCCTTCAACATGCTGAACGACGCTACCATTCCTGCCCAGACGCCGATTCCTCGGAAGGACATGGTGCTCGACGCAATGTCATGTCGACGCCCGCAAGACTCGTGCTATCGCAGAATGGAGGGAGCCTGGTAACGTCCAAGAGCTGCTGCGCTTCTTGGGGCTTGCCGGGTACTATCACCGGTTCATTCATGGTTTTGCGCAACTGGTGTTGCCACTGAGCTCTCTGGTGAAGCAGAACGTGGACTGGGTCTGGGAGGAACCCCAACGGCGCGCTTTCAATGCCATCAAAGTGGCGCTCCAGCAGGCTCCCGTCCTCCGTTTACCCGACTTTGGCAGGCCCTTCATTGTCACGACAGAAGCTCGGCGTTCACGAACTCAACTGGCCCGTGCATGAAAAAGAACTCTTTGCAATCAAGCAAGCGCTCACAAGGTGGCGCCACTACTTGCATGGGACCCATTTTGACGTTGTCACGGATAACTCGGCTTGCAAGTGGTTTTTACAGCACCCTCAAGTCTCTGGACGACTGGCTCGGTGGCTTGACTTCTTTGCATCATTCGACTTCAAGCTACATCACCGGCCCGGTTCACAGAATGTGGTAGCTGACGCCCTCTCACGTCCACCGACGGCTTCAGCTACGCCAGGGGGAGATGCCATCACGACTATATCGGTCTGTGTACTCCGATTTTTTTGCGCTACATGTGAAACTATTCGGCAGTCCAGTGCGCGACGCATGGCAACGACGGATAAGCTGCTGAGCATATCGTCGCACGATCAAGCGATTATGCTAAGCACCAAGCACCCGGCATCACCTGCATGTGTTGTTGGGGCTTCACAGAAGCAGATCCAGATGAACGCTGCGGCAGTTGACCCTACGACGACGGTCAGTTCCATCCAACTCGATAGGGCCACGAAGAAATCGTATCAGAAGGCCTACACGAGCGACCCTGCCTACAAGAAACAATGGCGTACCAAGACCAATAGCAGCGACTACGAGTTGCTCGATGGACTGATCTACTTGAAGGGTAGTGACAGCGTTCGACGTTTGTGCGTACCGAATGATCGACAACTGCGCTTGGATGTCATCCACAACGTTCATGATGCCGCCATCATGGCACACCCTGGTGTTCGCCGCACGCAGTTAGCCGCTGCGCAGTGGTACTACTGGCCTGGCATGGATATTGACATCAAGGAGTACGTTCGAAGCTGTGAGTCCTGCATGAGATACAAGTCTAGCACAGGTCGTAAAGCGGGCAAGCTTCAACCAATTCCATTGCCATCGGCATGTTGGGACGTGGTCTCTACCGACTTCATCACGCATTTACCAGTATCGGATGGATTCGATGCGATTATGGTGGTTGTTGACAAGTTGTCCAAGAGGCCAGTGTATATCCCGACACACACAACGGCTACTGCGGAAGATACAGCGAAGCTGTTCTTTAACAATGTCATCCGATACTATGGCATCCCGTCGACCATCATTTCCGATCGAGACCCAAAGTTTACATCCAAGTTTTGGTCGGCCTTGACAAGCTTGATGAAGATCAAGACTGCGATGACCACGGCGCACCGTGCTCAAGCCGACGGCCAGACTGAACGCCAAAACAGGACGTTGGAGGACTCGCTGCGATGCTCCATCTCATATCACGGCAACGATTGGAACGAGTATCTGCCGATGATTGAGTACGCGCACGCAACCTTAGCTTCTAGCTCGTCCAAGCTGTCTCCATTCTTTGTCGACACCGGTCGGGAACCCAAGAATCCTCTGAGTTCCGTTGACAATGGAGAACCTGTAACAGTGTCGAGAGTGGAGTATGATTCGCGTTTCGTGCATCATCGCCAGGAAGTGATTGAGCGGGCTCGACAAAATCTGATGGATGCTCAAGCTGCTCAGAAGAAGTTCTATGACAAGCGCCGCGCCGACAATCCTTTCAAGGTTGGGGATCTAGCGCTGTTGTCCACACAGGACTTGAGCATCTCTCATGCTACTGCTGACACGTCACTACGTTCGCGCAAGTTCATCCCACGATTCATCGGCCCATATACCATTCTGGAGCTACATGGCAATGTTGCCTTACTGGATCTACCCGCGAATCTCAAGCATCTCAGCGCGCGCTTCAATATCGATAAGCTGAAGGTCTACAACAGCAATCCGGACCAATTCCGTGTGCGTGTGATCCCAAAGTCAACACCGGTGGTGTTCGACGAGGATGGCGAAAAACTCCATGTTGTCGAAGCTCTGATCCGGAAGCGCATGCTCAACCGGACGCCAGAGTACTTGGTCAAGTGGCATGGGCTTCCCTCTCATGAAAACACTTGGGAGCGTGAGCGTGACATCAAGCATGTGAGCCACTGGAAGGACTTACTCAAGGACCTTCGTCAACGCAACAGCGCAGCTCGTGCTTTGCAAAAGTCTCTTCGTTAGGGACTTTTCGGTACTAGTCCGTATCCAGAAGGGTTACGGTACTACCAACTTTAACTTCATATTGCGGCTTCAAGGTTCAAGATATCGTGGCTAAGTCAAGTCGGGGGGAATGTAAGGATCTGCTCAAGAACATCAAGTGATTAGTCCAGCCACACATCAAGACGATACAGCCAGCTTCATATCCAAGGCTTTGCGCAGCGGAGCCGACAGTGCTCCACAGCCAACCGTTCACTGCATGTCGAGGTAGCTAGAAAACACAGAGAACATAACGATCAATGTCAGTTTCCGATTTACCTCCAAGTCCGTAAGCAG